TTCACCCAGAGGCTGGGTGGAAGGAGGTTCCAAAGGAACAAATGAGATTAAAGTGAATTCTGCAAATGTGCTGACCAAAACTGGCTCAGTTTCTTTTTAATGATGTCGTTTCTATTTTAAAATCCAAGTCACGGAAACCATTTAGAGTGGACTTTAACAGCACTCTAGTTTCCTGTGGGCAAATTATTTCTAATGAGTTTCTCCTCTTAGGGTCCCAAGAAATTGTGTTCTTAAATACAACAGAGATTTCTGGGTTTTTTTTAAAGAGATTGGGAGCTTGCTATTTTTAGAATCTTTTGGTTTTGCAGAGAGGGGAAGAAAATATTTTGACTTGTAGATAAGAGGTGTGTGAAAGTCGCTTGACAGTCTTTCAGGGGTTGATTTAGGTAATTATGGCATAAAGTTACTGCTGTTTTCTCATTTCTTTAGTTCATTGATTTCTCAGGTGCAGGAATGGTAGCAAGGTTTTTGTCTCTGATGTCCAGCAGAATTTCTTCATTTCTGATTTTTCAACTTCTCTTCTGCTTAACAGAGATTTGAAATTTGGTGGACTGGAAGTGATGATTTTGTTTCCGTAAATGTTTCTTATGTGCCTGTGAAGCTGCTGGAGTGAAGAACTTAACCTTTTAGTTATATATCTGGAAAAGAATACTAGCCCTTTAACTTTTAACATATGTAATGTTTTCATAGTAAAGGATACTTGGAAGAGAACTAGCTCTGCTCATCAAAAAAGGGCAATGTATTTGCAAAGCCAAAATTGATGGTTACAGTTTTGCCTATGATTTTGCAGTAAGATGTGCCACAAACAGTCACAGTCCAAAAAACTGCTGCTTCTAAAAACTCGTAGTTTGTTATGCATGTGTCTCTGCTGCACTGCTACAGTGAGTGATGGAAAGCAAATAGAGCACCAAGTGTGTTTAATGGGAGGTGAAAACAAGCCCCTTGGCTTGTTTGATTAGATTAGGCTTCAGCTGGCCTTTATGCCCTTTTTAGGCAATGAGAATTCCTGACACCATGTTTTAAAACCTGATTTTTAGCATGTTATATGTGAGTGTTGTATATGCTGTGGTTTCTTTTGTAAGGAATGTTTCTGAATGCTGTTACCAAGCAATCTGTGTGTAGTACGGATCTGCTCATCAGTGCTATCATCATAACATTTTAAAGGTGTCTCACATTAAGTGTGCTCTCATATTTAAACAAATACCTTTGATTGATGGGTATTAGAAAACATGCCCAAACCTCTTTATATCTGCCTGGTCACATATGATTCTCTTCCTCTTGCTGAAGTGAAGACTCAGTTACAGAAACAGTGGGATTTTTTCGTTCTGCTGCTTTATTTTTCACTTTTTTTTGTGTGTGTGTATGTGTGTCTAAACACTAGCTGAAGATCTGAAATGGCTGCTTTGGTCATATTAGAGAAACAAGTGAGACTAAGGGCTGTGACCTGAGCACTAGTTAATGTATTAAAATTGATGAGTAGTTTTCCAGTGTGGAACATACCAATGCAGTAAATAAAAGGTAATTAATTCTGGACAGCAGCATTTTATAGCAAGTAATGGAGAGGAAATATAGCCTCTATGAAGATAATGTATGGTTATGCAGTGCTACTCTGGGTCAGGGTAAGGGCAGCATTATTCTGCAGCATGCTGACTATTCTGCTCCTTGTAATTACCTGTTAAAACTGCACCTCTTAATATTTGAATGCAAATGGACATGCATAAATATGGTAAATAGCAGTGTCTTGATGTAGGATTCAGATGGCACAGCCTGGTCACAAACAATGCTGTGTAATCGGCTGCAGGAAATGTTTTCCTCTCATGATAGTGTGTAATGGCTTAAACTGTAAGGAAGGGCAAAACATTAAGGCTCTAGGAATGAGAAGTTCACATGCAGATTGTGTGGCATCTGCTACAGCTGTCATCAGCTAATTGTCCCTCAGTTGCTGTGCACCTGAAGAAACAAATACCAAGACTATGAAAACCGTAGGAGGTGGTTTGTTAGACCACAGAGACACTCCTTAGTTGCTTTTGGAACTTAGGAAAACAGAGGTGTGCTACCCTCTGCATTTTCTGCAGCTGCAAAACTCAGATGTTCCTAGATCTGTAGCCTCTTACAAAAGTTCTAGGTTCTTCCAAGGTGATTTGGTTTAGTTCAGAGGAAACCAGACTGTTCTTTTAATGTAATTTACCATGAAACTGAGAATTCCTCCTGGTTTTTGTTATGTTCAAGAGATTTTTGCCTGAGCTGGTAGTTCAGCTCTGGAATTACATCCCATCGGTGTCAACTGCTGTTCACAAGTAAGCTCTAGTATTTATATCAGCAATATTTTTTAAAGGCAGACATCCTGAAAATAGCTGTAAATATCTTCCTCATTCAGGTGTTGATGTTGGAAGGTCCTGAGACTTTACAGTTCTTGCAAAGGCAATTGTTAAAGCCAGGTTTACTTTACAGGTACACTCGACTGAATGGTGCAGATGAACCTTTATGTTCTCATGTCTGTTCAGTGTCTCTGAATTAAAAAGTCACCATATGTAACTGTGGCAGCCAGGGAGCCTTTCTGGATGTAAACAACTGAGGTGAAGGAGTTCTGTAAGCAGGATTCCATGGTGTAGTGTGCATATATATACAGCCCTTCTTTTCCTTTTACTTGAGAGGCAATAACTACATTGATCTGGTTGTGAAGGACAGTGTAAGTGCAGGTTTGAAGCAATGCAGTTAGTGTATGTGGTGTCAGCATCTGACCTGGCATGGGGCTACTGGAGAACAAATAATGTTTGCTGTGTGTCTGGACTGTGTGGTGTATTTCTAGAGAGCCAAGAAACATACCTAAACCCAAGAAAGGGTTTAGGGAGACTAATGAACCTGAATGTATGGATCTAGCTTTTGCTCCTCAAAAACCTTATGGACTCTCACTCAATCACAGAGTCATTCAAGTTACCTTTTTTGTCTGTGTGCTTAACTTGAAGCAAGAATTTGGCTGAACAAAAGGAGAATCCCAGACCTTTTCTGAAAAATGAGAGGAAGCAACTCGTTTGCTTCAACACTGCCCTGATTAACTGTTTTTTTCCAAGACAAATGCTCAAAAATTGTTAGTGTTAGAAAAAAAAGATTCCCCGTACTCTCTTTGTCCATGAGAAGTGCTGTATAGACTGTATGTCTTTTGAAGGACCCCAATTTCCTCTGTGTATATTATTTGGTGAGCATTATGCAGTCTGTTCTATTTTATAAATTAGGAGTTGTTTTGGTCGTAGGAGTGACTGGAGTGCTGCTGCTTAGGAGCTGTATTTCCTGTACTTTTCATCAAGGCATTTTAATTTTCTTTGGACAGAACAGAATGTTGCTTCAATGGTGGTGCTATAATTAACTCAGAGGCAACCTTCCTTTGTTTGCTCAGTAGGTAATATGCAGGGATGTGAGTCAGTAATAACCAATTAGCTTGTTTATAATGAAGTTCTCCTTAACTGCCTTCCAACAGCAGCAGCAACAATAAATGTGCAGCATCTTAACTCTTCTTTTGGCTTCATTTTCTGTAAAAACCAATGACGTTAAGCTGGACTCATAAATACTAGGTATAGCTGGTATCTCCTCTCTCCTACCCTACAGCCTGACCTGCTCTGTGGGAATTATGGCCTTGGAGTTCTCATGGAGAAGGCTGGGTACCGACTTTCATCTGGAAATCGATATAGCTTAGTTAGTGATGGAAAAGGGCATTGCAGGATGGGATTCTGGGCAGTGAAGAAGCAAGGCCTGAACAGCTTCCAGGTGCTCCTTGTCTGCTGTAGAATAACAGATATGAATACTGGATGAAAAAGCTTTCCATTCAGAGATCTATTTGGAGGTTGATGATACTTTGTAGTTGGGATGTTTATCATAACTATGGTTATTTCTTTTTCAAACTTTTTTTTTTCATAGATCTGGTTAAGAATTAAGACTTGGATTTTGAAGCATTTGGGCAACTTGCTACTGCTCAAGTCATGACACTCCCATTTCGAAAGGACTTGGACAAGTACAAAGATCTTGATGAAGATGAAATTCTTGGCAAACTTTCGGAAGAAGAATTGAAACAACTGGAAACTGTTTTGGATGATCTTGACCCTGAGGTAGGCATCAGCCAAGAGAAGTTTTATTTTGTTCATCTGTTCCATAACTAGTTTGAAACAAATTGAGACTTTGTGTGATAAACTTTTGGACAGAGTTTTTTCCTAGTCTGCTGATGATCTTACAGATGTATATGTGTATGTAATGTTTATTTCCTGTTTGCAAGGTGGACACAACTGCAGTAGAGGAAAATGGAAGAAGGGATAGTCTGGAAGAGCTTTCCAGGGTTTATTTATAAACAGAAGTTGCTCTTAGTCATGTTCTTGAAAAGAAAGTTTATTGAGAAAGGCCTGTTTAACTCTCCTGTTTCCAGTGCTGGCTGGTAAAGAGCCCTTTTGCATCCAATTTTATTTTGGTGCTTCTACCATTGATGCTTGGGAGAGGGAGGGTGCTAGCCTCTTCTAATTCCTGGTTCTACATCTGATAGTCTGAATCTATTCCTGTCCTCATGTTGACTTTGTCATGAGAAGGCAAATAATTACTGAGCTCCTGAGTGATTATGTCAGCATGGGCTATTGAATATTACAGGAATATTACAGCTTTCTACTGTAAAGAGCTGAGTTGTCCTGATACTTCAGCTAACCTCAGACTCCAAGACTTGTGTTTTCACCTTATGGTTCTCTGTTTTTGCTTTAATAGAACCAGGATTAAGTTTAATCTTGGTGTTCAGGAACCGGTTAAGAATACTATGATCACCTATTTTGTTGCACTGCAAGATATTATTGATATTTTAATTGACTTTGGCTTTATGGACATTTTAGCAGAGGAGAACTGGCAAAAGGGATTGGATGTCTTTTAGGACAGTCTGAATTCCTATACATTCTGTTCTTCCCATACTAGTTTCCTTTGAAAATATAGTTGAAATATGTTGATGATATCAAAGAAACATCCCATGCTAAGTAAGTTCAAAACTAGAAACACTCTGTTAAATGCCAGACAACAGTAGAGCCAGTTGTTTTTGAAGACTTAGAAACATGTGGATGTAAAGGGCAGAGGAAGTAGTCTCTTGCTGAATGTCTAGATCGCTGAGTTTTGCTTACTCCTCATTTAAACAGTGCTCATCCTAGAAAAGAAATGCAAAGTAATTAGCAAGTCTAGTACTGGGAGCTATTGTACTTAAGGAACTGCTTCAGTCCTATTCAGAGTGCAGTGTGCTGTATTTTTCATTATATTCTTTGTGTCTCAAGAATAGATTACCTGGAGTCCTCCCCTGCCCCAAAAAAGCGGAGTTGGCTAGGGATCAGAGATTCCTAAAAAGGATGATGTATCAGGTTTGAACCTGGAGGAGAGGGAGAAGGCAGATGGCAATGAAACTAAGCAGGTGTTCCTCCAGACTTTGAGCTGTTATTTGCCCTGTTTGCTTTGCAGAATGCTCTACTGCCTGCAGGCTTCCGGCAGAAGGACCAGACTGCAAAAAAGGCTTCAGGTCCCTTCGACAGGGAGCGGCTCCTTGCATATTTGGAGAAGCAGGCGCTCGAGCACAAGGACAGGGAAGACTATGTGCCTTTTACCAGAGAAAAGAAAGGTAACACCACCCTTTCCTGTGCTAATGGAGTGGTTATGAAATCTCTGGAGTGAACTAGCCACAACTACTGTGAGCCAAATTCTATTGAAGCGCTGGCAGCTCTAATGCTTTTGAACTCGCAGTGTTTCCGAAGGAGTGCTGCTGTGCAGGGGCAGGAGGCTTCCTGTTCTTCAAGCATTTTGTGCTGCTGGGGCTGATGTGCTGTTTGTATGTAGCACAGGAAGGAAATGAGACTCAAAGATTTTATCCTGGTTTGCACTGGGGATGGTATCCTCAGTGTAAGAGCTAACCCTGATTTGTGTCAATAATAACAAATGGTGTCATTGTGCCTGTGGTTATGCCTTGTGCTGAGCACAGGCAGAAACCTCTGTAATACTATGTTCAATTAAAAAAACAGCAGTGGGATGATGTCGTGGTAGACACCCAGTAATGTTCACAGATGCTCTAGGCTGACAAGGCCAGACAAGTGGTGTCTGCAGTCGTGTTGTTCTTCTAGTGTCCTTACTGAGAGGTTTAATAAGATTGGGTAGTTATGACTAACATTTAGCATTGCAACAAGTTTTGAAATCTGGCAGTGGTTTGTAGTCTAAAGCCCATGGACACATTATTAAAGCCTGGGATTTAATACTTTTGCTTTGGATCTAGTATTCTTATTGACTTGATGGGAAACATTTTCCTTTTCAGGTGAAAATTGAAAAAGAATGTGCTTCTTCGTTATTATAAGAATAACTCTATTTTTTTCCCCAAAAACAAGAGTTCCCAAAATTGTTGTGCCTTACAAAGCACTACTGGGGGTAGGGACAGAAAGTCTCAGTCCTGTGCTGGGCACATGTGCACAGGAGGAGGCTTTTAGCTGTCTCCACAGTGATTGAGAACTGATTGTGAATCCTGGCTTGTCTAAGCCTTCCCCAGCAGCAGGGCAGATCTGCTGCACTAAGACTTCAGTGAGTTGTTTGCTAAGTTGTATTCCAGCTGCCCAAGATGAATAGGCTCCTTTTTTCTTCAGGGTTTGAAACCCCTTAATTCTCCTTAGTTCTCTGGTGTGAATCATTGCTTATTTCAGATTTGAGACTTCATTCATCTGCTGAGTTTGTCTCTGATCGTGGTGTATATTTGGTAAATATTTTGTGGGGGGTGTTTGCATTTTCTCTGCCTGTGCCAGATAGCTTTACTTGGCAATGTTAGTGTCTCTCTTTTTCCCTTGAAGCAATAATGTGCTGCACTGTATATGATGTACTACTTTCTTCACACACTTTGTTTTGCCTTATTTTGTAGTTTAACACCACTTGTGTTGAGGTAACTGTGACACTTTGGTGACAGTTTGCTGACTGAATCTGTAAGAGTGAGTTAAGGGTATGTATTGAATGTAGAAGGTACCCACAGCAGCAGGTGTGGTACCTTAGGGTAGCTCTGCTGCTGGCAGTACCTGTTTTCATTCCATGTTTGGCTCTGTAGTCTGATGCTGTTGCCACCTCTGTTCTGCTTCTTGCCCAATGTATTTGCTAGTCTGTGTTGGAGACAGACTAATGGTTAAATGTGATTGAATTCAGCATATTCAGGCCTCATAGCTGGTTTAGGGAATCCCTTGCATCCCAGCAAGTCTGTACACTGCTCCTTTAGGATGTGAGATTGGGCGTGGAGGATTTGTTCTAGCTACTACTTCCCTTTCTCGCTGGTGTTTCTTTAAAGTCAGCTTATGTATACATGTACACATCAAGTGTATTTGTTTGGGTAGATAAAATCTGTGAGAATCGTGTTGAAAACCAGAAGGGTCCAGCTGTAACGCAGATCTTGGTCAGGAAAGATCAAATGTCATTTCCTTTATGTAATAAAGTATTACTAAATAGCAGTCTGCGTGTTGCAATGTGTCATACCAGTCTAGTTAGTAAAATTTCCTGTATCTCGTAAAAAAACACCCAGTTGCTATTTAATAACTTTTTCTACCATTTATTTTAGTGCCATAGAAGAAGAGTAAATGATATGAAAAATGATACATAGCTTACTTTCATTAAAACTAAAAACATGGAGACAAATGTTCAGTATGGAAATTCATGCTCTGTTAAATGGGCAAGAGGCAAGAAAGCTAAGCTTATTTTGCAGTAGGTGAGGGATAACCTTTTCTTTTCCCCTCATGAAGATATTATGGTTCAGCTTTGGCTTGCTGCCACGTTTGCAGCTATTTTGCAGAAAAAAAGCAAATCTATGTAACTTAATATTTTAAATCAAGAAATCTTTATCTAGATGTACCGTGCCCTTTCCAAGTCTTACAAAGTGTAATACTTGTGTAGGATGTTTTTAATCTAGAGGGAGTTCCTATCCTAATGTGATTCTTTTTAGTATTAAAAAAATCCTAAACCAACAGAAAACTAAGCTAAGTTGTATTTTTTCTCTTTGGCCAGAACAATGTATCATGGAGAAACGCTAACAAATTGTGGAATGGGAGTAGGTTAAAACCTTGCTTGATTTTCCTGTTAATTCAGAAGAAAACTGATAAATACAACCTGCAGTTCCAGAGGTTTTGGGGGCAGAGAGATGGACTGGAGCTGCAGCTATGTTTTTGGTGCCATTTTTGGGGTTAGGATTTGCCAAAATATTTCTTTGTGCCTGAGTGGTCTTGTTGGTCTAATTACTCATTTCATGGAGTAAGAAGGGGAAAATCTATCCTTTTTCCTTTTCTATTTTAGTAGAACTGATGTCCTGCATGGAGATTTGACCTGCAGATTTATCAAAGAGGCTTAGCCTGGGTTAATTTTAAACATCCTGGCTTGCTGCTGATTCTGGTAACCTTGTTTCTCTGCTACAGTGTGAAGGAAAATCCTCTCTTCCAGGTGTCTCAAGTACCTCATTTGGGGATAACATGTTATTAGAACAAAGTTGCATCTGTTTCAGTGATAGATGATGTGATTTCTCCAAGTCTTTGGAACCTGTTTTTTGTTTTGTGCTATGAAATGTGGAAGATCTGAAATCATGTAGTGTCCTGCTGTAGTAATATGAACCGTGTTAAAGAAATGTGAAGTTTTAACAATCCCTGAATTATTTTCTATTCCATTTTTCCAGTGCCTGATTCTGTTTCTAAAAGCATCCTTAAAAACATACTTTGTTTTTAAACATGATTTAATGACTTAAGTCACATTCTGTTTCAATTAAGCATTGAACCATACAGTGAAACATTGTTCAAGAGATCCATGAGAGCAACGTGGTAATAATTGCAACAAAACTAGCTTTGTCTCTATCTCTGTATGTAAGTAATCCATAAAGATTTTGCAAGGCATATAGCAAGGAGAAGGATCTCTCATCCAAACACTAAAGCAAGGTTTCAGCAGTGGAGGCTGTTGCCCTCAAGTGTGTTCCACTTGTCTGAGTCCGTCCAGTGCTCTTCACTTCTCTTGGAACATCAAAAGAGGAGAATTATTGCACCTGAGATAAAAACATATCTAAGATCATAACGTACTTTGTACTTTATAGTGTGAGGCATTAGCAAAGTATTGCATAAACTAAGCTTTGCATTTATAGCCTTTGTACTCTCCAAATTGTGGCTTTCTTTTTGAATTTCCCCTCTGCATAAATCCTGCCAGGGTATGTTTGTGTAGGTTTGTAGTTCATGTGACTTCTGCTTTAATGTTGGGGTTTTGTTTGGGATCTTTAGGGGTTTGGTTTGGGTTATTTTGTTGTTTTGGTTTGGTGGTAGGGGGTTGGGTTTTTGAGGTTTGGGGTTTTTTCCACCTTCTCTGTCCCCCAGAATATGTTGTCAGGCTGAAACTGTAGCCACCTGGCTAGAGCTCTCTTGTTGCCACCCTGCTCAGTTGTTGTTCTAGATCACCACTGGCTTCTGTTGCAGCAGGATTTGGGATGCTGTGTTCTGTTTGCAGTTGAATCATTGGTCTTTAAAGGAACTGTTACATCTTGTGAAGTGAAGCTAATATTCTGTAGGAGCTTGGAGAAACAGCTTGTTGAATTTACATTCTCCATACAAGAGCACTAGAACAAAGTAACATGTGATACTCCAGCCTTAATGCAAAACAGTTCTAAGTCGCTGCTCTGTGGTCTGTAATCAGATAATGAATAGCAGTTCTGTTTGTGCAGTAAGACACTGAGGAAGTCACTTGTAAGCATAATTTAATACCATTTTTTAAAATTCAGCTTACAAGTGAATTCATGAACCCATCTCTGTCACGTGGTAAGAACTGGTGATTGATGCATTGTGGATTATATCAATTTCTGAACTGAGGAAAGATGGAAGGAATATATCATATGTTGCTCACTTTTCTTCATGAAATCACTGATAGAAAAATTTGTATGTGGTTGTCCTCAGGCAACATTTGATTAATTTAACAAATGAAATATTGCAAAAGTGGATTTTTAGACTGCAAGATGTTGAGTCCCACCTTACATTCTGTGAGTCTGTGTGAAATGTCAAGGGCACTTCAATACACAACATCCAACCTTCCTGCCTTTTGAGCTTTTTGATTGTATGGAACTTGGAATTGAAAGTTCATTTTGTAGGAATGAGAGCCTGTGACTTAATCCTGGGATGTGCATCATCTAACATGTTAGCTTAAAGGCATAGAAGACCTGAATAGATAATTACTACAAAAATGATGTGAATATCCTTGAAATTTGCCTCTTCATGCTGTATTGCTTAATCTTTGCAGCATCCTTGTTGGCTGAAAAGGAGAATGTCATGTTCCTTCATGTAATCAAATCTGCTATTTGGAAATGTTCCACTCGAGGGCTGAGAAAGCTGCACATCTCGTGGGCTGCACAGATGTGTAGTGGTTTTGGGGTTTTTTATTTAAAGCTTGCATTAGTCGGGGGGAAAGGAATTGCTGAAGTGTCTTGGCAGCAGGCCTTGAGTTAGATCACTGTCCCCAGAGACACAGGGGTCTTACCCTTTTTGAAATCAGTTCATTACCAGGAGTGGGGAGGGGGGAAGGACCTGCTTTTGTATGTGCATTGTAAAGCTCTGAATTCTGGGCTAGGACGAGATGAAGCCAATGAATGAGAGATTATGTACACAAGGGTGTGACCTGTTTTATAACAAAAACTGCTCCTGACCCAGTTCATGTGACTGGAGTTGGGTGCAATTAACATTTCTGGAGGGCAGTGGCTTTTGACATTTTTGCTTTATTAAAACTGAATATACTTCTCACTCTCCTTAGGTTTTCTTGAGTCAGGCACATATGGATAAATTTAGTCTCACCATTAGGAAACAAATGTTTAGAACCAGAAGTTCCTAACCTATGAATCTAAGAATTACTTAAAATCCACATCAGGAAAAGTAGTTCTTTTTTTATGAGTACTGTGTGATGAACCAGACAGAAGGCTGATCTAGGTTGAAATATGTGTTTGCCAAGTTGTTTTTGAGATCAGTTTCCTTCTCCTGCTCTCTGCGTGCTGCACTGATGCTGCAAATAGAATGGCTCAGGTGCTCAAAGTGCACCTCCCTTCTCCTTCCTTTTACTCCAAAATCCTCACCTTTATGCTATGCCATATTACTGAGGGGAAACAACACAAACATAGCTAAGGAAAGGCTTTAGATCACGTGTATGCTGTTCAGAGTGTTTCATGGGTTAATGAAAACCTTGTCAAACATTCTTGTGTCTCTTCTGAAAGTTACAATTTAAGTTGAAAGTTTTTCTCTCCCCAGCAGGTGATGCTGGTAAAATGACATGGTAGAAACTTACTCTATCAATTATATCAAAATAACCTCAGACATTTGCTACATAAGCCTTCAATTTGCGAGGGTTTTCTTTTAATCCTGAATCACCACAGTTTCTTTTGCACTGTCTATCAGACCTGAGGGATGGGTGGTAATGCATGTCAGCTCTGTTCAGCTACTGTTTGGAGTCAATACAGTTATATAAGGAGGTTTATTTTCTGCTTCTAAATATGGATAATGACCATTTATACAAGTTTCCAGAGAGATAGCAACTCGGGAACAAAAATACTGTGTTGCTAGCAACAGATCTTGGTCATCAGACTCCGTTGTCAGAGGAAAACCTGATGCTTCTCTGTAATCTGTGCTAGTGGCAATGCATTGACTTCCTTTATAAAGAAAATGAACCATGAACTGCTCTAATCTAGGACAGGAACTTGGAGAGAGAAAGAAAAGGTGGATAGGTTTTGTGATGCCTGTGGCTGCTGTGGGACACAGGAGCTGACTTCAGGCATTGCTTCCCACGAGTGGTGAAACCAAATCCCTGCTTTCTTGGAATTTCCCAGAAATAAAACAGAAACATCCCTATAAAGCTGCTTGTCACTGGGAGGTATTTGAAAATGCTAAACTTAGCCCAAGCATGCAACAAGATACACTTATGTGCAGTATGATGGGGGGAAAAAACCTCTTAGGCAGTGTCTTCTGCCCAGTTGTTCTGATTCTGGCACGTGGTGGGTTTTCATCCTGTAGTTGGGATGAGCTAAGATGATTCCCATGTGGAAATATTTTACAGCTATGGATATGGAAGAGGGTGGGTCCCTGAATTAGGACTGAAACTTCATGGGAAGATTACCAACACTGCTTCCTATCTCAGGAGATAACAAAAGGAAGTTGGAACTCTTTGCCCATAGCTCTCTCTGCTGATAGCTCAGGCAACTTGGAAAGTTTGAAGAACTGTAATAACTGTTAAGGTTTGATTCATAGCTGTTTAGTTGCAAATTACCTCTGTCAAATGCATCAGTACCAGAGCTTTTATTTACCATGTTAACTTGTCCTGAACACCTTACCTCTCCTGGGTTCTCACCTAGGGGCAGACTTTGTTTTGAAAGGCTAATTCTAAACCATTTGCATCTCAACTGTTACAACGGCTTTCTTGTGTTCAGGTTTTCTACCCTAACTTCTCAGCTGGAGATATATGCAGGAATTACGGTAACTACACAGTCCTCTACTTAGAATGCATGTCTCCTGAAATAACTTTGCCCATTTCCTGCCTGCGATAAGTAAAAAGCTGGTGCTGAAATGTGACATTACTATTGCTTCTTTTGTCATTGAATCTTCCATGACCATTCTAAGCATCATTTTAGAAAACAGTGTCATTGGCAGAGAAATCTGTTACCTGGTTTTGTGTTGTTCACAAACCCTGGTTTTCTCAAGCTGCTTGGGCACCTCTTTTTTACTTTGGAACTGAGTTAACATCTGAAATCAGAAATATGTTGTATGCTATAAAAACTGCAGTGAATACTCAGGTCTGTGATTTCAGATACTACTTTGATATTCTCTCTCTGACACACTCAGGTTACAGTTCTGCCTGGGTCCCTTTCTCCCTTGAGAGGATATTGATCATTGTTCTCTAGTGGTACTAAATCTTTCTTACAGACACTTTCTCTGGACTGTTTAAAATGTGCAGTAGAGGCTTATATGTTACTTTCTAATCCTTAGGAGAAACAAGTAAGATTGGAGTCACGATAGAGGCTCATGAAAATTTATTCC